GATATGCAATGCGAGAACTTACGCTATAAATTTATTTAATTGATACGTATGGGCGTTAGTGTAACGCATAAAGCAAACTTTGACATATTTAGTAAATTGCATATTTCATATGAAAAATAGTCGATTACCTATTTTTAATTAAGTATAGTTTCAAAAGCTTATCATTATTTATAGGGAAATTATTCATAGTAGTATTCACTAAAATTTAATTAGCAGGGTTTGAGCTTGGTTACTTAACAACTTAAGTTATAAATAAGTAACACTCACTAAGTTATTGGTAAAATTTTTTTTTATATTTTAAAATATTAAAATTATAGTTCATCATAATATTAATAATTAATAATGTATTATTGTTGCTGGTATTGTAGTCTGACAGTCACGAGTTCTAAGCCTGGCACTTGCAGTCCAAGCAAAACATATACGAACTATAAATTAATTAAATAAAATTCGATTATTTCCTAAGACCACTGATGAAGAGTACTTGGCAATACTCGAAACAGCGTTGTATGGTCAGCCAAATTTCAATAAAATTAAAATAAAATTTTTGTGTTTGTCCTCTCTCTCTTTCTTTGCTATTCCAAAATTCTCTAATAATTAATTATATAATACAAAAATTTCGGACTACTTCGTAGATCATTCCTATTGTAACATATATCCTATTCATTAAAGTAATAAATTTAGTAAAATGATCGAAAAACACTTTCTTAAAAGTCTAGAACACCCACTATGGTTTTTCTTCAATATCTATATTGTATTACTCTGTTATTACATTTAAGAGAAAATTAATTATATCACTTTTATAGAATAGAATTAATATATAATAAATTTGATTTGAACTTCAATATGACAGAAGTGACTATTTTTATTTTAACAGAAACTATGGTATTTAATAAAAAAGTTTCGACCAGTAGTGAGCTACAACAACAAAAATTTGAGCTGTTGCAAGTATTGCCAAATACCTATCATCAGTGGTCTTGAAAATAATTCTTATATTTAATTATTCGTAAATAATTTTTTTTGAGACTGTAAGTACTTGAATTATTATATAATATTATTATTATAATAATTATTACATAATTTTTTTTTTTTGCGGCAAGGATGAGTGGAATGCCATAATCCGGCGCCCCGGAAAGTGACTGCCCGACTCGTACGAACTAAACTGCTTGCCCTCATTACTAATCTTGTCCTACCCCGGGACCACGTTAGTATTACTTCGATGTAGGGTCCCTATTAGTCATTTAAGACTTCCATCGGTGCAGCTACTGCTGTAGGTGATTAACCTTGCCCTTCATCTTGATGTGTTACATCTGTTTACTCCAGCTATCTTCTGTCAAGGTCTAATTTTTTCAAACTCAGAACCTTTTCAGCAAACATTTTTCATATAATAATTGTAATAATAATAATTATTATTATAATATCGTAATATTATAATATAATATTTTTACTTATAGTTTAGTTCAGATTAGTATACTTTAGTTTAGTTTAGTTTATATTTTATAGTTTATAGGTATAATTTAGACGTATGTGCTTTCTGTAATTTATTATTAAATAAAGCCTACCAGATTTAGAAGAACACGAATGTGTAGTAGTAATAGGAACACTTATAAATGTTCCATTCAGTAAAAAATATAGTTTAGAAACACGGATTATAAAGGAACGATCAACCAATTAAATATATAAAAAAGTCATTATCACATAAAGTTCACCTTCACTCTGTGGCATAGCCAAATATTAATCTTGGCAGTGCTATTGCTGTGTATTTGTAGATTTTATTATCAAGAAATAATCCAGTTTTTAATCCATACCAGAATACCTTCACTACAAAAAGAAAATGATCCCAAAAGAAATTTATTTACATTATTTGAAACACTGAAAATATATGTAAGATTATAGAAAGCTATATATTATAAAAAGGAATAGTTAGGGACATTTTTAAGTGGTTAAACTTTACCGAGCTTATATATAGAAATTAATGGATCAGTTACTTCTCGTTAGAAGAAATTAAGTATATATATATAATATATTTTATACAATAATATATAACATATATATAATAATACATAATATATATTTACTAATATATAATATATATATATACTAATACATAATATATATATAATAATATATTAGTATTATAAATGTTACTTATAAATGGCTGAATGCTATATAGTCGTTTATTAGTATATTTTTATCTAAATAATTTTCACATTTTTCTCATATTTAGCAATTGCTCATTAGCATCCTAAATATAATTAACAATGTATAGACGAAACGTCTATAGAATGAGAAAAGAAACAAAATAAAATAAATAAATTTGTTTATTTTGTTATTTAAGAAGTTTGACTAGAGTTTCGGTTTTTATAATATTTAAAAATGTTGCTTTCTCTTTATATGGGGATAAAGTATAAAAAGTGGATATCATCCATTGGATTCTGCTGGAGAACTGAGTGCTGCTGGATATAACTTTGTAGAGTATTAGAAAAATAGCAGCACTTTTGTTTATTTTTGTTTGGAACCATATCTGTTTAATTGAGCCTTGTTTTGATATTTCTAGAACAATGAAATTGTGTTTTATTATATTTTATTTGAATTTGATTGCTCTTTCATTTACCATATATCCTATTGTAGACGCTAGGATGTCTAAGAAATTAATTAATGGCTTCATAAATTAAATAGAGCAATTGTGTTTTAAGCTAAAGTAGAAACTTAAAGGTTGTGAATTTTGTTTGTAAAAAATTAGGTAACTAATTTTCGAATCCGATTTTTGGAAAATGGTGCATGATATATGGAAAACTCTATTGCAAAAGCTTTAATGATATATTACAATATTATTATATGAAAAATAAATTAAAAAATTGATTTAAATTTGAAATTTATAAAAGTTAGGTTTTTAAAAAAGTGAGCAACAAAAAAAAATTGCTTTGAACTACTATAATTTTTAAGCCTATTTAAGTGCAAAGACTTCTTTCAGTTTCTTGTTCTTATAGATATTTATTAAATTAAAGAGTATTTGGTGGACCAATAATTACAGAATATGATAAGCTACATATATTATTTGAGTGACCTTTTTCAGATATTAATTATTTTCGACACACTTTATCTTAGATAGTTTTGAAATTGATATCTAAGGTATTAATCGTCGTTATTTATAATGTTTTAAATGATTAAAATAAATTTTTCATATCTTTATGTAACATTATTTCGTTAGTAATTAATTAATTAAAATTAATTAATAATTAATTGTAATTATTTCTTTAAATAATAAGTGTTAATTATTTGTGACCAAACAATTTTAATAAAGTGTTGAGTTTCTTGATAATGACTTTAGATAAAAATCGATATATCGAAAAATAAAAATTATTGCAAAATTAATTTGTGATTTCTTTGAACTTAATTTTTATATATATTTTTAACAACATATAAAAAAAAATTTTGACCAATTAGCTTGGAAAAAAACACTTTATTGAAATAATAAGTTAAAAACGTTGTATCGCAATAAGTTAAAAGACCTACTCTTGATTAATATATATAAGAACATATTTGTTTATACTAAGTATATGAATAAATTTCTTCTGGTTTTGTCCTTTTTCAGGCGTATAAATCGGCATGATCACTAAACGATAAAACAGTCCTGCTAGTTTTCAGACGTGGTACAGTATGGTAAATAGTTAAATAACTTTTGTTAATTTTTTTTTAAATTTGATGCTAACATCTATTATTTAATTTTTAATTTCTTTTATTATTTAATTCTATTTTGTTATTTTTTTTTAAATTTGATGCCAACATCTGTTATTTAATTTTTAATTTCTTTTATTATTTAATTCTATTTTGTTAATTTTTTTAAAATATGTTGCCAAGATCTATTAATTTAAAAAAATTTTTGGGTTGTTTAAACAAAATCCTTTAGATATTTTAAAAAGTTTGATATTTTGCTTTAAATTTTATTTTCATTTTGTTCTTCATGAGTTTTTAATAGCAAACACTTTGGAACTAAAAACGTGTAGATTAAATTAAAATATTAAAATTGTACTGTTAACAAATTTATAATAATAATAATAATTATATTACAATATTACAATATAACTTTTTTAATGGGTTTATTAATAAGATAAAGCATGAAGTCTTGAAATTAAAAATTGTGTGTTTATGTTGTATATAGAAAACTCAGTTTAATTTTTCCTTTCAATTACATAAAACATTTAATATTACATATATATATAAATTTTGAGACTCTCATAAGCTCGTAAATACTGCCTCATTAATGCACATTAAAGTGCCATTTAGCGTATCGAATTGGCCAAATATCGAAAGTCATTTACTCGCAAGTGCTTTTATTCTTTGTTTTTTTTTTTTGTTATATTTATGCTTTTAGATGTCATGCAAAGTTTAGTTCATTGTGATTCTACGCCCTTTGCTATGGTAACCCAATTTATGGAATCACAATTCAACAACAACAACAACAACAACAACGACAACGACAGCGCAAGCAGCGCAGCCTGCCGCACCTTAGTAACAGAGAACAGCTAACAGCGATTCGTTTACAGCTTCACTAGCGCTTGCAATGCTTTGCCATTAGCTTTGTTTGTCTGTAACAGAGTGCAGCTTGGCTTTCGATTTCAATTGCGCCCTCTGCAACAGCAACGACAACAGCAGCAGTAGCTGCGCATGCGTGATCTCGCCGCTATGTTTCTAGCTGTATGTGTGTCTGTTTTCGTAGTTTTCGTAGTTTTCGATATGTTGTCTAGTTTTTTATTATTTGTTTACGAATTTTTCTTGCAGTGCATTTGTTTAAAGTCTTAAGCTCTTAAGTTGCAGTTTTTCTCGCATCGCACGCGGCCCTGGGAGAAGCATTTTTTTCTTCTTTTTGGCAGCTGCGCATATGATATCTTTTATCGTGGCTTGGTTGCTGTGGCTGATGTGGTTGCAGCTCAGCTTGGCTTAGCTTAGGTTGTTTAGCTTTTGGCGTATATAAATGGTTTTGGTCATTTGAGCCAGGCATCAGTTCAACGATTTCTTGCAAACGGTACAACACACAATAACCTCAAGTGTCGTTTTTATACATTTACGTCTAAAACTTACAACTACTTTTGGTATCCTTATTTTCGGATTCGTCCTATAATCAATTTATATTTGAGTTTAACACACCACCGATTTTATTTAAACAAAATGAAGGTATTTTAAAATTAAAGTGTTTTTTCTTATATAAAAGTGTTGTTGATTATACAAGTGAACTGAGAAATTAAGAAATTTAAGATAATTATTGAACTTTAATAGCAACTCATGAGAATCAGTACTGAGTACTTGGTGATATAGTGAAAAAAATTTATGTCCTAAATATTTAATTTAGAACAAATAGGTTTAAGCAATACTAAATAAAGTTGAAACAAGTGATATATCTTTTTTAAAAAATTTTAAAGTGTTTTTAATAAGGACATTACTTCACATAATTACAAAAAATATAGTTTTTTATAGAACTTCATTTAAGTTTTATTTTTGTTATTTTTGAATTAAGTTTTATGTACGAAAAAATGGTTGAAAAATTAATAAGAGTAATGTTAAATATCATTAAATAAATATAGTACTTTTAATGGCATAATTTATATGAAATATGCTTATCTATAGAAAAGAGTTATAATTTAATTTATTTAAATCACTTTGAGTTTAGTTGGAGAAAAAAATAATTAGTCATATAAAATTGTATTACATAAATGTAGTACACATAATCACGTAATTTATATGAAATATTCTTATCTATAGAAAGCAATTATTATTGAATTTATTTAAAATACTTTGAAATTAATTTGGAAGATAATTAAAAAATAATAGATTTTACATAGTAGTTACCATAATTATAATATTATGATACAATATTTTTCGTTAGTTTTGCATAATATATATTATATTACATTATTACAAAAAATAGAAATAAATCATTACTATGAAACATTTAATATGAAGAATATTAAATATTGAATATTAAAGAATATTAAACAATATTAAAGAATTTTACACTCTAAAAGTAAAGTTATAAAAAATTTAAAAATATACTAGATAAACTCTATTAAGTTTTTAAATTAATATCAAGACATCATTTATGTTAAAAAGAATTAACTTAATAATATTTTGAACAATAAATATAACTTATCTGGAATATCTCAAAAATTTTTAATCAGCTATTAGAGTTTAAATTCATTAAAAATAATAAAGTTAATTGGTTTTAAATTAATTTTGTTAATTTAAACTCGAATGTTGTAAATAAATAATTCAAAATTTATCATAACAAAAGAAAATTATTATCATTTAAAGAAGTGATTTACATACTGTACAACTGATCAATGAATTAAATAATAAAGACTTATAACGCATTAATTTCATATATTATTAATTGAAACTTTTAAATGTATATTTGATTTAAAAAATTAAAAGTTATTTAAAAAAGAAATTAATTAAAAAGAAGAGACCGATATACTTTAAAATTTTAAATTAAAATTAAATATAAGACAGTTGTTTTATATTATTACAATAATTGTAATCATTATTTATTTAATCAATATAGCAAATCAGAAACGACTTAAAATCAAATATAGTCTTCCCATAGTTTAATATTAAATAATAGTACTGAATTGGTGTTTATTAAAGATGAAATGTGAATCAAAATAATATTTAAGAAAAAATATTTCACCATAAAAAACTAGATTTTTTATAATAAATATATATTAATAGTCAACACATCTGTAATCTTCATGAATACCTATTTAAAGAACTGTCATAAAATTGTTTAAAATAACAGAATTTAAACTTGGCTTATATGATTTATCTTACAATAAAAATTAGAATCAAATATTGATATATTTTTATATTATAATTATATTATAATATAATATGTTCGGTTTTTCAATTAAGATTCGTCGTCTCCTACTGGTGGTTTTGTTGTGATTTTTGTTTATTTAAGATTTTCTTCAAAATAATTTATGTTTTAGTTCTACTTAAAAAACAGTATAAGCTTTAATTAAAAATTTATTTTTAGTACGTTATTGCATTTGCACTCCTGATTGCTGCTGCTCAAGCAATTCCAATTGAATTGGGTCATTACCATGCACCAGTACTCGCACATGCTCCAGTATTAGCACATGCTGTGCATGCTGAACCTGTGGTAAGGAATCTTAAGTATTTTCTATATATAGTATATTTACTTTTACTTCTTATTGATAATTTGAAACTTTTATTAAACATGTAATTATTCATAGTTTTACTAATACAATTTATTAATTTATTACTCAGGCATATCCTAAATATTCATTCAACTATGGCATCAAAGACCCACATACCGGTGACATTAAATCACAAGCAGAAGAACGTGACGGTGATGTTGTTAAGGGACAATACTCACTTGTCGAACCCGATGGTTCAGTGCGTACCGTAGACTATACAGCCGATGATCATAATGGCTTCAATGCTGTCGTACACAAAACAGCTGCCAAAATAGTTGCACCAGTTGTGGCTCATGCACCATTATTGCACCATGCACCAGCACAATTATTGCACCACTATTAAATTAAAAGACATACCAGAAATTTTAAAGACTAGCAAGTAGGCAGCAAGGAAGTTTTTAGACAGGATATGATATGATGTACACCCGTTAAAGGCTGGAAACGAATTGAATTGATTTGAATGGAAAAAAAAACAAATAAAATACGAAAAACAATATGGAATTTAATGGATTGAATGTGAGAAGATCTTGTTAATATATTGAATGGAATTAAAAGAACAAATTTCATTAATTTTATTTTTTAATTATAAATGATCGATATTAGCAACAATACAAACAAACATGCTTAAGCCACAAATACTTTTATATACTTTTCATTTAGAAGAGAAAAATATTTATATTTGAGGTTTTAGATAAACCAGTAATGAAACCAACCTACCAACAAAACACTCAACCAAGATACAAACAAACAAAGAAATGTATGAAATTTATTTAGAATTTAAATATTAACATTTTTTTAATATATTATTTTTATTTTTTATATGACAAATCATCGTTTATATTATGTTGTAGATGTACTTTATCGATTTCTTATTACCATTTCTACTTTCTGTACTTTCATCTAATAGCTACTACTCTCATCTTCTAGCTATTTTTCAATCTTTAACTATATATTTTCTCATTTTGATTTCTAATAGAGTTTGCATAAAGAATTATTTGGTGTAGAGAATTTCACATATTTATACTTTTATTTACTAAATAAATAATATCTCTAGCTCTACCGCTATTTGAAAGATTTTTACTGATCTGTTATAATATACCAACCATTTGTTTTTTTGTATATATACCAATAAAAGGAGTATTCTTATATGTCAATATAAGGAGTATTCTTAATCTTTTCAGTTTTACATAAATGAAAAGTTTACTCTTCTGTAATATATATTACAATTTTATTATTCTCTATTATTTCAGATTTTTAAATCATATTAAAAAGAATCTATCAAAAATATTGTCTCTAATATTCACATAATATTTATGTAGAATATTATTAAAAAAATACTATCTCTTCCCGACATAGTTCGAAAATCCGCAAAACATATTTTTGAAAGGACTATACACTCCAAACACGATTCAAACAAAATAAATCTTTATGCAAAATCTACGAAAATTGTGATAATATTTTCTTAAAATATTTTTTTCTTTTCGTTATTAACTTCTGAATTTATCAGAAGTTAAGAGTTTTACAAATATAGAGCCGGTAACTGTGCATTAGGAGTGTTCAATATGACATCGTTCCTTATAAGAACATAATTGAGCATTCTTTTCATTTCTATCTTTAAGAAACTATTGTCCATGTGCATTTATAATCATTAAACTATCATAAAACATAACTATCTTAAAAGCATTTAAATACCTCTTGAGCTCTCTATTTTTTTAGTTATATTGTATATAGCAGCTTTTGACATTGATATAACGATATACTCTGTTTTATGTGCCTAATGTTAACTCTGTATTTATAATCTCTTTCTATCTAGTATACTATCTCTATCTTCTACACTACTATTATTCTTCACTAGTTAGTAAACTTTTATTTTCTATAAAAAACACTTAAATTTAATTGCATTTTTATTTTGCTATAGTTTTGAGAATATTTTCAATTTTCCACTCTTTAGTGGATAGTTATTATATACTCCTTTGGAACTACTGCTTTATGAAGATGTATAAATTTTTCAAAGAACATTAAGCAAATAATGAAGTTTTTATGTAAATAACTAAAAATAAATAAAAAAAATAAAAAAAATACAATACTGAAAATGACTTTGTTTTATTTAAAATTATTGTCACTGTTTTTAGTTTCTCTTGGAATATACTCAAAATTATTATATATATATAGTTATATATAAAATGTTTAATATGTTTAATATAGTTTGAATGGTCTATATATTCTCAAGTAAGGGTATCAGAAAAAATAACAAATTGTTTTTCATTTTTATGAGTAATATCAATGACTTTTTAAACTTTCATTCCTATCAATAAATTTAATATGTACGATATGTACTTCCTTGTATTACTTGGAAATTTTTAGTAGAATTTAATGTCCTTTTGTTTATATAATCAATTTTATCTTTAATTTGTGTGTACTTGTACCATAATTTAATAAATTAACTTACCTTCTGCTCAAAAAGTACTCGGATTTCGTAAATAAAGCACACAAATTTAAATTTTATTTCAAATTTTATTTTTATTTATTTTATTTTATCTCCCTCAAAATATGCTTATTCTGAAGCGATACACATATGCCAACGCTTAACCCAATCTTCCATACACTTTTCGTAGGCCCGTGAAGGTATGGCTTTTAGTTCCTTCAGCGAATTCTCTTTTACCGATTCAATCGACTCAAAACGCTTACCACGAAGGGACAATTTGAGTTTCGGGAACAGGAAAAAGTCACACGGATCCAGATCTGGCGAATATGATGCCTAAGCGATGACAGTGGTGTCGTGTTTGGTCAAAAAAATCGCGTACAACAAGAATTTTCCATAGTAAAAATCGCTAAATGCACTTGAGGTAGTCTCACATTAACAGCTGCTATAAACAAACTAATTGACAGATGGCGCTCAAATTTGTACCATATGTTAAGAAAGGGTGTACCAACATAACAAAAAAAAATTTTGAAAAAGATCTATTACTTAACGAGTAGTTAAAAAACAACAAAATCCGAATACTTTTTGAGCAGAGGTATCTCTCAACCTCGTTTATAACCCATTAGCTAACCGATTAGCTATCGGTTCTGTTTTCGAACATCAATTGGAGGTAGCATAACTTAATAACATAGGGTAAGAGAGAGAAATTGTAATAGTATATCTCTCGGTTAATAAGTTTCAACACATTGTGAGACGGTGGTGAATAAACAGAAAGTGGGGAAGCCATCATCTTACCAGGCACGCCACTTAGGTTTCTCAGAAACAACCTTAACATATTTCTACTTCCTTTTTTGAATGGTTCTATACAGGAAACAAAGGACAATCTGTCGATAGAATATATCTTCTTCACAATATTTGAATTTGATAATTTAATTGTTCACATATCATATTTTGCAGTTGACATAGATGTTTGGAAGAATCGTAATTCGGTATATATATTAACTAATGTGCACGCATGAAGTCGGTAGGGTTGATCCTCAAAGAAGTACAATTTATTAATAATAAATAATAATTAATATTATTTTAATTAATAAATCAAATATAGAACTGCTTGTAATTTATAAATACTTTTAATTACAAAGAATTCTGAATTTTCAATAGGGAGAGCATGGCTTCTTTACCAAAAATCTGAAATTTGCTTATGTTGAAAACTAAAAAAGATATATGTGAAATTGAAATATACGTACAAGTTTATAAACATTCTACATAAAAAGTATCCAGAATTTATAATTTGAAAAATATGTGTTTTGCAAAATTCAACGATTATCACGTGCCTTTTTTCTGTCATTAATCCTATGATTACTATAAAGCTGAATGGCTGATATGAACCAGGCATATAAAAAGAGCAAATGAATGGTATACAGAATTTATTTTACGAAAAATGTATGAAGGATTGGGAAAAGCGCCGGCGTAGTTGTAATTTACTCAAGGGAATTACTTTGAAAAATGGACATTTTGATTCTTTAAAGTTTTACTTAACTATGGTCAGTTAGTGCGATGAAGATAGACGCATACTTCAAAGATCAATTTGCAGATAGATACACGAACACGTCTAAGTCGATTTGTCTTATTATACTGATTAAAAATGGTGTCCAGCTCCATCTTTTTCTCCTATACTAACATTCACACAAATTTTAAATACCTCCTTTATACCATGTCTATGAAGGATATGAAAAGAATTCATCGTTTATATGTTCGCTCCCTTAGTTATTAACTTCTAAATAAAGTTAAACAGATTTCGTAATAGAAGAAGCTAAAAATTCATATAGTAGGTGGAGGATCTCTTATCGAAGACACAGTATTCAACCTAAATATTCTTTAAAAACAATAGCTGTTATAGAAAGCCGAAAGATATCGATTATATCCGCTAAATATATGATTAAACGAGTTACTTTTAATTTACGTGTTCATGAACGTATTCACAATTAGAGAAACTAAGAATAGTATTGAAATTTAATAATTAAAAATGATTATAATAAATTAATTCAATTATTCTACAGCTGATTCATGATATCGTTCTAATTTATGTTGAGTTCTATAGAGCAAGTGAGTTTGTTAATGAACTTTCACAGCAAGTTAACAAAACCCCCAAGTAAAGTACGGCTTTAGGTCAGTTTAGGTTAAGGTCAATCCTTGGTGCCTGCAGTTTTTGAAAAATTATTTACAAATAATATAAGAAATAAATTCAAAACCACTGATGATGCATATTTAGCAATATTCGAAATAGCTGTAAGGTCAACCAAAAATTTAATTAATTAAAAATAAATAAATATTTTGTTCTTACAATTTACTACTGCGTGATATCTCTCTAGAAAATAAAAAATTAAACAAAAATAATAATTACAGAATTATATTTAAGAACATTTTACGTCATGAATATAGCAATCATCTCTCGGTTGTACACTTAAGCTCTTTAATCAGAGAGCGTCTATACATTATTAATTTTTTCTTCAAAATTAAATACCTTTTTCTATTCTACTACAATTGAACCATTTAATACAACAACCATAGAAGGTTGCTTCAGATTTTGATAATCCAAAAGTTTATTTAGGGAATAAGTCTTGTTGTGATATGTCTTAGCTAACCAAATTTCTTGGAAAAACTATGTTCACTACTCTTAGCTTTTTCAATGTGAAGTGGGAGTTACATTTTTTACAATAGCTTTTTATTATTATTATTAAAAGAGGAGATCGTGCGTTGTGACCTAAAAGATGTATTGTGCCCGTTAGTCGGATAAGAGTGTTTCTCCAAGTCCGATAGAGACAGTATAGAGCCTATGTTTCCTAGTCTTGAATCCTTATGATCCATGAAATACCCTCCTAGGTGTTTCTCCCACTTGTGCATCAGTGCCGGGCACTCCCGAACAACATGGCCTGCAGTTTTTCTCTCTTCTCCACGCTGTCTGCAGTCTGAGTTGGATTGAATTCCTAACTTCGATATACTAAATTTTTTTAACTAACATATGTTTTTTTGCTACGACACAACGCTTGTGTTATATCATTTGTCCAAGTTATATGAAAGGAATTCATTTGATTAAATAAAACGTTAATCACTAAATATTTTTATTTATATATATACATTGTAACTAAAACTTGTGTGATGTAGTTCGTAGTAAAAATCAAAAACGCCAATAAAGAAGTAGAATAAGAAGATACATTTTTCTACATATTATAATAATTGAAGTGATTTAATCTTTCGCTGTGAAATATTATACATTACTAACATAATTATAAGCTTTTCAATATGTTATATATAAGGAGAGTAATTACAGTCTTGCCAAGTAATTACAGTGTTTCGTATTGTTGCCATGACCATTAATTTGAGTTGGAATCATAATTGAATTTGTTCAATTAGCAAAACACAATTAAACATTTTCAGGGATTGCAGAAATTATAGAAAATATAAGAACTGAAGAGTTCTGGGCCTCAGAATTGCTTGAAACTTAAAAGCGTTAGAACGTTAAGCGGCGGTTGTCGAAAATTGGAATTTAAAAATTTTATTGACTTCAATTTAATTATTAATATTCAACGCATGTTTAACAAATTGTGCTTGTTTGTTGTTGTAAGTTTGAAAACGAAAATTTTCTACTTATAAAATATTTAATAAACTTATTATTAATGAACACTGAGTAAGCATAAATAAACCGATTTAAAAATTTAAATTACGTTGCGTGAATAAAATCGATTAAAATGTGACCTCATAGCACATACAAGCTATGAAACGAAAAATTGAGATATTAAAATAAATTTAAGTTTAATTGAATAAGAAATAACTTCAACTCATAAATTTAAAACTTTAGAAACTAATTTAATAATTTAAACAAAATAAATTCTATAAAAATCATGTAAGATACAAGTAGTGCGAAAATAGTAAACAACTATATCTCATTTGTCTGATATTTCTGAAATTTATAATACGGTCTATATCAGCAATTAATAGCAGTGCTATAAAATTATTATCTCAATTGTTATAGTGAATTAGATATATGCTTAAGAAGAATTTACTTTGTAATACCACCGAAACGTGGATGAGATCACTTTTCGAAGAAATTTGGAAAAGATATCTTTTTAAAACTGTTCTGTCATTTTAAAAAAAGGGCAATACCGCATATTGGGGTTGTTGTATAGTCGCTTGAGGACGGGAGACACAAATTGTTGATAGACCTCTTCTGGTGACTGTGAACGTTAGCACACGTTTGTTTTCTAATTCACATCAAAGATCGTAGTCATTCGATGGGGATCTATCCGGTTGTTATGCTTTTTGTTAGCAGATATTATTGTATAAGTACATCAATGATTTTAATTAATGAGAAGCAAATAAAACCAACCATTTGCTTTGCTTTTTCTAATTGTGGATAAGCTATGTCATACATGTAGTTTGACATGTACACCCATTTTGCTTCTTTTAATATATATTTTTAAGGCAATATGGTCGTGTAGCAGTTGAACTGATGTGAAAATGCCGTCTTCTAATAAAATTTATGCTGTATGGTGTTGTATACTAGTTCTAACGAACGCATCGTTTTCAGAATTGCCAAAAATGTCTCAATAGTCAAAAATTCATATTATATTAATTGATAACTACACCAATATCAATTCAAGGATAGCATGCAAAAATACTAGCTTAGGGCTTCCTCAATTGATTTTAATAGCTCGGCTTATTAATAGTATGTATGTTGATCCTTTTTTCGAGTCAGCGCAACTGGGCACTTTCACTCTTTGATAGCTGGGGGTACTACAGGGTCTCACCCATCTCATTGACTAATTTATGTATTCCCTATAAGCTTCATAATTATTCAGTGATTGATCTAAGATCTGCGTACCTCCCCGTGCGTAGAGTGATTACTTTAAGATTAAATAGTGCTAAATAGGATAGCTTGTCAGTTTTCGCATATAACTTTAGGGCTCTGTCCCTTAACATATGTATTTTTTGATCGGGTCTATTCTAATGTCTCTTAGCATGTCGTTTGTGCGGATGTACCAAGGGACCTTATTAATAGTAGAAGTAACAAATTGGTATTAGCAATATATATTTCGTACATTCAATTAATAAATTCAATAACTAATATTAAAACAGATGTATAAGAATCATTATATACTTAAAAAGATTTCAAAAAACTTGTAAGAAATTGTTTAGAATAACAGCTATAGGTAACAAACATTAAGTAAATATAATTAAATAATTTCACGTTGGTATAAAATACTTTTATATAGATATTATATCTCAACAGTTTTTACTAAATTAATTAACTCACATATTGAAAATATCTGATAATTAGACTTGCTACCTTTAGATATTTTTAGCCAACAATAAAATACTCGTATTGTTGTTTTTGTTGTAATAATTGTCATTAAATCTCTATTAAATAACAAATGTATTGGTTTTTAATTTTTTCAAATAAATTAACATTTCCATAAATCTTTAATTTGCGCTATTTCGATTTAAACAAAAAATTCAAGTGCAAAATGTCGAGAAATAGTTAAATTAACTAACAACAAGTTTCAAGAATTAGGCTAATTCTGGGATCTTAGGAATTCAAAGTTAGTCTTAGGATGAAAGAACAATAAGTGTTCAAAATAATAAGTAATAGTAAATATGGATGCTAAATTTCGAATAGCATCGACAACAACTTGTTTTAGTTACTTTTGTCCATTAAGACCACCTCTAAGGAATGCTTAAGAAGATTTCCACTGCAGTATGGAAACTTCCTTCCACTAATTAGGGGAGCCAGATATGAACGAGAGGCTTAATACCTAGTGAACTAGATTTATCTTACCCATAAAACAAAAGGCGTAGTTCAAGTAAATAGGGAGTAGATGAAGGGACTTATTGTATAAGTGCGGTAGGTGAACTAGTCGTACACTATACTAAAGACGTAATATAAAGAGCAACTGATATAGAATAGATATATTTTTATACGATTTTATTATTTTAAGAAATTTAAATGAAATTAAATTTAAAAATAAATTAAAATTTTATAATTATATTTTTTTATATTGTTTTTTATTATTATTATTTATTATTTATATATTTATTTATGTATTACTTATTATTTTATGTTATATTTTACAAATTTTTTTTTAATTATATAAAATTTCTTTCGTATTAAGCAAATTTAAAAAGGTTTCAATAATTAATTTACTCGAAAAAATTTAATATTGAAGCTTAAAATATATCAATAAGTTGAGAAGTTGAAAAGCAGGTGAATAATTACACTTCCTATTAGTCTTAAAAATATACTTTTAAATTTTCATTAAATTTAAAATAAAATTTTTTGAAAATAACATTTCAGTTATTAATTTTGGCCGTAAAAGTATGTACGGTAAATGGCGGGAAATTAACTAACAAAACCGAAGCATACGCCATGGCAAGTGGTCAGAAGAAACAAGACACCAGCAGCGTTGAATCGTATTTTAAGCGGGATCCTTATGGTAGGCAATAGAAATAAAAGTTAACAGAAAATTTAAAATACATATATAAAATAAAATTAATTTTCTTTATATATAACTATACGAACAGGTCCAAATACTTATGCTTTTGGTTTTGAAATAAATGACAAGAAGACCGGCAATGTACAATTTCGAGACGAGCGACGTTTTGTGAACGGCAGTACGGAAGGAGCTTTTGGATATCTTCGACCAGATGGACGAGTAACGATTTCACGTTTTATAGCTGATAAGAAAAGAGGTTACTTAACACATACAGAAACCTTTAGTGAAGGTGACAAGTACAAATGGCAGAAATATTGGCCCACAGAAAAACCCGATATAATAATGGACAGACCAATAGACATGAGTCAAACAAATATAACATTCAATAAAGCACTACAATTGAATGAAACTTATAGTAAACTGCCGATAAATATAACAAATGAAATACAAAAACAGCATGGCTTGGATGTAAATAGTGTTGATTTTAATAATGATATATTGGATCCATTGGTGGATGAGATAATAAATGGTAAAATACCATTAAAAAAAGTCACTAATGGAAAGAGTGCTAATGGTATTGGCTTTGAAACAGTGCACAACTTTATACCAACCGATTTTCATATAGCACCTTTTCAGTTACCAGCTGATGATGAACAAGTTGATGTGGGTGTTATAAATAAACAAGAGAGGAAGTATGTAAATGATGTAAATGAAGAAATGGGATCTAAAAAACAAATGCAGTATGCTGCAGCTAAAGAAAATACTTCAGTGAAGAATTTGGCAAAAGATATTTCACTAGATGTTAAGGATAAGAAAAGTGCAGATAGAAATGGTAAAAGTTATAAAGAAAAAGTAGAACGCCCAGATAATTTCAAATTAGAATCTTGGTATAAACAAATCATAGATGAAGCTAGAAAAGAATTTTTGCAAAATTATTAAAATAATTATATTTAGTTATATATTAAAAAACGAAAGTGGGCATGTGTGGTTCTCTTGTAATAAAATTAAGAAGTAAAGCAAAAAAAGTAAAAGCAATGTTACTTTCATATCTAATATAAACTTATGTGTAATAATTCATATATATCAATATGTCTAATAAAGCTTAAAGACAAAGGTGACCTACTTTTCATTAGCATTAGTTAAATACTTTTCTCGGTTTTAGTTGCTCTTACCAAAAAGAAAACAGAAATGGCATTGGCATAAGATAAAAAAAAATTTCCATCTGTTTTTAAGTTACATCACTTAAACAAAAGAAAGGTTTAGATATGGAGGGTATAACCATGTAACGCCCTTTTCCAGTATCTTTCACTTTTTATGGCGCAATACACTGACAACAGTGCTGCATAATGAGTGTATCTAATAGATAGATTATAAGTCGCATGCTAAAAATTTTGAATTATAAAGAAATTGACATTTGCATAATCTGCACAGAATCTGCGTTGTATTTGTGATTATATTTAATATGCAAATAGAGCTATTGCAGACATGCAGCAAAGAAATTTATTTGTATATTTCGATAAAGTATTTCATCGATTAATTTGCACTTTGAATTGTGATGGCTGCACGCGATATTCAAAAAATATTTGCGCATGCAGAAAAAATGTATGAAATAAAACGGAATGCCGCAAGACAATACAATAAAAATGTAAGCCGACAAATAATAATAATAATAATTCTGTGAAAAACAGGTGAAAAATATTTGTATTGTCTTCCGGGTGAATTGCGCTATACTGGCATTTTATAATGCTTTATTAATGCATAAAAATGCTACGCTATGCTTTGATGTGTACCAGAAAGACACAGTTACACATAGTTTTTGCTGTGTGCACTTAAATTCGTAATTTCAGTAACAATTTTGAATGAATGAGATACATTTTCTAGGTATTTAAGTTAGTAGTAAAAGCTGCTCCCATTCCAATTAGAGGATCATAAAAATTCTTGTCTATTATTGAGTATTGTTTTATGTTTAACATAAACACTTAACAGTTTAAGTGTTTAAATTTAGCTGAGCTTTAGGTCGTGCTTTTAAAAATTATATACATATTTATAGTAATAAGTAATATAAAAACAAACTGAAGATTAAATAAAAAGTAATACAGTTGTTGAGCTGTGTATATATTAATATTACATATAAATATAATTTTCAAAAACACCACCTAAAGCCCAGCAAAATTTAAACACATAACTATTATTATCGACACTAATATAGACATTCCAATAATAGTTTACTTAAGATAAACGTATACCAAACAATAAACTCATTGAAAAGATTTTTTAAGTAGCGTATAGGAAACTTAATCGCAAAATTACTTTGGCGACTAAAACCATTGTTTATCTCAAGAACATAATATCAAGTGTGTTCAGTCTACAATTTTTTTTGTATACTCATATTCATCATCCTCAGACTGAATGAAATTAAGTTTCATGAACATTTTTCCTACTATTGATCCTACCACTAAAGGTGGATAAAATTACTTAAAATTCATAAAAATCTGAGATTATTACTACTGGTCATTATTGGCCCTAATAGGCTGTAATCAGATATTGGCCTACTACATATTGCTTTGCAGTTGACTCTGTTTCTTGCACATATTTGTTATTTACGATAGTCCCAATATTTATAGTTAAGTAATTATAACCGATATACATTTCTAATTGCTTATATACAATCTTAATATCATGTTAGCAGTTTCCATGTCGATTGATACAGTGATATCACAGTTCCAAGCACAGTGACTTTAAATCACTATTGTATGAAATGAGCTAAACAAATTTATAGAAAGTTGTGACATTACGATAAGCCTTTGCTCTACCCAAAGTTACAAATACGGTTTTATTAGCATAAAATGTAAAATTTATCCTCTTAAAATTTCTAAGTGATGAAAGATTTAATTATATATGATAAAGTCAGGTAATGTTGTAAATAGTTTAGTGACAAAAAAATTGGAAAAAAATGCAATTAACAATATTTTGTATACCTAAATCCACCAGCTTCAGAATGAGCAAAATCAAGTTTCATTGAAAATAAAGCTATCTGACTGTTACTTCAAATGTTCTCTTCCATCGGTTAATTGACCTGTAAATGAAATTTAACAATAGTGAAAACGTTAACCGATTTGCTAGTCTCAAAGAATAAGCTGAATCCAACATCTTGCTAGAATGAATGTTTCTAGAAAGCAAACGCAAATTATAAACGTACATGCAATACTTAGCATATAAAAAGGGGGAGGGGGACTTACTCTGGATATAATGAAATAATTAAATCAGTGATCCCGAGAGGGCTAACCGTAGGACATCTAGCTGATTTTAATGGGTTACAGTCTCACACTGACTGACTGAGCATTTCGTTTGCTTTACACTTCATGAAGAGAAGGTCTATGATAGTGGGAAGTTGACCACGCAGATTTATCTTTTGAAAGATCTATATGTACAACAATTATTTTATAATGTGGACCCAAATTGATTAACCTTTTTATAAATTTTTCTAACTTTAATGTGAGCTGTAAACCAAAGGACGATGGATTCATGCTTTTTAGCACTAAAGTATACAATTTAATCTTTAGTTTTCTTAACTGAAACAACGGCTATTATAATTGATTTATAAACCTCTGGTTAAAGTAATTAGTTGTTAAAATTTCACTGCAGATATAATTATTTTATTTTCTATAACATTGTATAATATATTTTCTTTCACATATTTATTGTAAGTTCAAATTTTAACTCTGCCTAACATTGATCGGGTTTCTTTGGACAAGTATTAAATGATCTATATCGTTCAAATTTGTGGTTTAATGGCACAACAAATCTTTCCGCTGCATTGCGGACAAAATCAGTGAAACTAGTAAACCGAGAAGACATTAAAAGATTTTGACACAGTTTTGCACGTTTTCCGACAAGCGGTTTTTAGTTGAAGTTTTCAACTTTGGAGCGCCTTCCTATGCATAAATAATTTCAAAATCCAATGCAGATACAAGTACTTAGCTTTTCCTCTTTTCTTTATTGTTGGTAAAATTTTTCTTTTTTCTTTTTCTTTTATTAAACAGGAAGATATTTTTCGTTTATCATTCATATTGACAATGACACGTGCGGTTTTTCTCGTTTTCCCGGGAGTTCAACAGTTCTTCTTACTTACATATTCATAAGTGTACCGTAACGTGATACGGCCGGACGCCTGCGTGGATGCACTTAAATTTGTGCTAAATTACGGTTGAGGAAAAACACAACGGAAGGAAGTTGGGCTGACTGATATGTGGTGAACATATTTCGTGTTATATGGTATATTTTTTTTTCTGCCATTAAATAGAAATTGTTTTATTAGGATTTTCTGCACATTGTGTTGTTGTTGTTTTGCTGTTTTATGCCGTTTGCATAATTAAAATTTTATTTCGATTTCGCTTTAATTTGCAATTCATGCGTGTTTTACGGGGTCTCTGGCTTCTCCTCAATATACACAATATCTGCGAAGTATCTTTGCAGTAGTTTATTTACGCATACATAATTAACACCACAGGCACTAATTATGCAAAAAAATATTTTTTAAGTTAATTTTGTTAATTACATTCATTTAAAATTCAGAAAGAAAAAGTAGCAGCAAACCTTTTCCTTTTATTCAAAAGTGAATTTTATGCGTTGCGGATTTAATAATTCAGCAGTAGTGAAAAGTTTTTACTCAATTTATTAACTAACTTGGCAAATGCATCCACTGGTGGGCAATGGGCCAACTACTATTATAAATTAAAAATATTTTAAAAAAGTTCAAACAAATGTTTGTCAATAATTTTAAATACAATTTTTGTGAAAGTAAATATGGAGTTGGGATATTTCTTGTCTTAGTAAGGGGAAGACTAAGTGACAAAATGCAATGACTTAATTAAAAAAATGACTGCGCTTTGGCCGTTTTTGTTTGGCTTAATTACGTCGTTTTGCTGTTTATATTTTAAGAGCTTAATTAAAAAAAACGTACATGACTTTAAACATTTAATGAACTCAATTAAAATGCCAGTTATATCTCCGTCCCCCGTTCATTGATGTAATACAAATCTTGTTATGACAAGTGCAAAAATTTCGCGTATTTTGTTATAATTCGAAAATATCTTTTGCATAATTCCAGAGTGGATACCGTTTTTAATTCATTTTACCGATCCGTGCTACACAGTTTAGTCTCTGAAAATCATATTTAGATTAAAATCAAAATTACATTTAACAATAGTTTGTGGCTTACTCGCTTGCAATGGATTTGTTGAGTGAAAATGCAACAAGTGCTGCAGGAGTGAAAACAAAAGTAATCATTAATGCTTATGTAAAAAATTCACTCTTATATATAATAATACTATATGTATTTCTATTATGTGAAATATTTTTAAACTTACACATAAAATTTTTTACAAATTATATAGATAGTAGAGTGGAGATTTACTATGCTTTAGGCAATATTGAACCAAATTCAGTCGGAACGACATACAATCTTACTTACTTTAATAGACTTAAGAAAACTGCACAGTATGGCTAAAACTTAACAATGGCTTAAATGGAAGAAAGATGCGTTCTCGTATAGAAAATAATTTATATGAACTGGTTAAGAAGAATAGAGTAGAAATATATAAATTTAAATTTGTATTTTACCACATATCCTAAGATATGTGCATATAATAATGTGCTAATTTAACACATCCCTTTTCAAAACTGTATAAAAATTATATATAGTAGTTGAAAATGAAATATATGTCGCATGTTGCTCATACTTTGGTATTTTATAACAAGTGATATCAGATTACAGCGTTAACTATAATTTATATATTATCATAGTATCGTTATAAAAATAAATACATTTATATGTAAATTTATTTACTCATAGGTACCCCCAATTATATTTATTTATTAGTATATATATATTATACTCATGAGTGTAATCAATAAGCGGGAAAAGAACTAACTGACAAGCAAAAACAAAATAGGAGATCACTACATAAAAA